CAAGAAGTCGAAATATCACTTTTTACCAAAAATGACAAAAATAGAGAATTTGAGATTTTGACATGAAATGAACAAATCTGAGAAAGAACCATCCAAGGTACTTGCATATCAAATTTGAAAACATTCTGACTTGCGCAAACCCTGATAGTGACCCAGTGGAAGGTCTATCAATCAAATGTATCAGATCAATCCCATTGGTGGTTTTAAAAGAGTAAGTAAGCTCCAATGCCAGTGATAAGATGAGAGGTATTATTTAACTTAAAAACCATACATACCAAGGCCAGTTCTATTAACTGATCACACTGCATCTGTGACGCAAACAAATCGGCTACCATCCTTAGTGTACCGTTCAATTCTTTTTCTGTCATTACTATGGTAACGTTATCCATATTTGATCGCACATCATCATCATCATCATTTTGAATCTCTCCGAAATATTTGGCTTTGCTGGTTTCAATAATCACATCTTCGCCCTCCACATCGTCTTCTATATTATTCGCATCAATATCATCTATATCACCTTTTTTTTTCTCACTGAACTCTTCCACAGGTGTATCAGCAACAACATTCTAGAAACAATTTTTGAGCCACAATTATAATTTTTCCTCTCGTCAAAGATGTCCGGTATAGTTTGGGAAGAAGAAATTAGTACAGGGGGATGTTGATAAGTATTAAAGATTTATCAGGATGACAATTATCAGTATTGTCAATGATGCTGCGCATGACAACGAGAGTGGTGAGGTATATGTACATGTAGATACAGTACCTGGTAATGAGAAAATGAATGAATTACTTTATAAAATATTTTTCCAAAAATGGTAGTCACTGGAAAATTATGTCTATTTGATTAAAAAAATTCGTAAAAAGAAATGAAATATTGTGCTAAAATTTTAGCGAAAAGATACTGGTGTTCAACATGATAAAAAGCTGTAAATATTTGAAATACTAGGCGGCCCATAGTACAAAATAGCTGGTACCTTCATAATTGATAACTCAATTCTAACTTTGCAAAAAAAGCAAATATTTAACAATAAAACCTAATTATTCAGCAATCTATAAGCCTTAAGGTATCAACTACCAGTAATTCTAAACCAAATTGACAGCACATACTTCATAACAATTGTAGTACCATATTTGCTCTATTAGAAGTGCATCTCCATTAGAAGCACACATAAACCAAAAATTACATTTGCTGTATCATTAAAATAATACCATGGAAACACCTCTGTAATACATATAAGCGCTATTAGGTAATAGAGCAATTATGGTTATTCCATCAAATATGAATCCTAGCATTGAAAATGTTGCCTAGATACCAATAAAAATGTTAATCAGGTCTCTAATCTCTCACTTTAATAATCACGAATTTCGTACAGAGGATCTCCTACTTTCTCTTTTACTTTCTCTTTTAAAGTTATCATCTGTGGTGATCATTTATCAGTAATTTTGGATTGGCTAATCACATATTTAATTATATACATGGATATGCTATTCACAAAGCCAATTTGAGGAAAGTTTGAACATGTTCAAGAGCATCAACTTAAAAACATTTGAATACTTCTCAAGGTTTTGAAATGAATTTAAACTAAACAACCACTGTGACATTATCAGATGCCTGCTAAAACCTATCAGTAACAAACAATCTGGGTGTGTGCAAAATATATAATACAAAGAATTCATAAAATAAGGATATGCAAATTGTATGGTACTGTAAACATTGTACACTTGAATAGGCATCAGTGACAACGAAAAACCATATTTAAGTGCTAGGAGTGATTGAAAAATAGAAAAATGACGCCCAAATTAGAAATGTGATGAGGACCTAAATATGAAATGCAAGATTCTCACAATTCATAAAACAAATGTATATTCTATGAAAATGGTACTGCTAATATGTAATATATGGCTGAGTATGGTGGTTATGATTTAATATGTACAATATTATTATGGGTAAATCCTGGACCTGTTTTTATTTTTGACAACCAACATTTATTCTACATATTTCAATTTTCACAACACTTACACTGGGCAATGTCATAAAGCTATCAGCAAACTTTTTCAATGAGTCTTCCACTGTGACTCTACTGTGGTAGAGTTTGGCGTCATCTCTTGGTTGATAACTGTCTACATTAATACCAGTCTGTGTCTCATAAAACTCCATGTTCTTAGTCATGACTTCGTCCTCAGGTAGAAATAATAAATAGCTAACGGCACACTGCACAGCTTTATCTGGTTCACCAACTAGACACAAACAAAAACATTATAAGCACACAAGCTTATCATACTAGATACATTGAAGCTTACAGTGAAGGCTCCCAGTTGTAAGCAATCAATGGCATGACACAAACTCTTTCAATGTAAGGATAGTACCGGTAACTTTCTTTATTCTATACTTCATATTTTCATCCAAACATTTTTAATATATATCCATACTACGTGATATACATATAAATCCTTAAAATCTATATCACTCTGATGTCATTGCCTAATAAAGATGATTAGTCAATATCCCATAATGAGAAACAAATCTGTATTTTTGGCCATTCCAAACACTACCACCCACCCCTGTGAAGGAGAAATTTCACCTTTTTTTTCAAATGATGAAATATCATAGATCATGGCATATATATTTATGATAATAACATGTGAATAGCTTGAAATTGAGCAGAGGGTTTTCAACCAGTCTATTCACATAGTTCATACCCATCATAGACTCTGGTCAGTCAAAATGACTATTTTGAACTGCAGGCATTAATCTGCAATACAGCCAATGAGAGAGAAACGTAGGTCAGGAGAAGCCCCATGACCTTATAGATCTTCTTGCACATCACATAACACGTGACCAAGGTCAAGAGGGCAACACTATCTTGTCTTATGTTCACTCCCCTGGTTTTCTCCATATACAAGGACTAAGCCAATGGCTACAGAAAATGGGGTGATCGAGAGGGACCGGTCAGTCAAAATGATTATTTTGAACTGTAGGAGTCAAACGACGAGAGATGGTGGGTTTCCGAACAAAACCAGAAACATAGGAGTACTTGAAAACATAGTTGAACTCTGGTGACCTTGCCCTTTGTTATATAATAAAATTCCCTTTATCATAGTTTGTTTCAATATAAATATGCATTGTCATAATTAATTTTGAATACAAACAAGTTTTGGGGTTGAACCAACAGTGGGGAATCAGTCTACCGAATGTCCTTAAAAGATGTAAATATCTTACAAAAACATGCCTTATTTGTTTAATTATTTTAAGGAACATAATTTCTAGCTTTATTCAAAGTAATTCAGATATTTTAGAATAAAAACAAATGTCTCATTGCAAAAAAAAAAAGTGCTGCATTTAGATGTGAATAGATTCATAAAACATGCAAGATAACAGAAAAATTTAGCTGGCTTTAGTCCAAGTATTTTGTACAGGTGTACAGGTAGGCACCCAGTTCATAGGAGTGCTTATATTGATTTTCTGACATCTTGTTTTCTGTAAAGATTTTATTGGTAGGTTTGCAAATGTGTATCAGACTGTGCAAGCTCTCCATGAGTTGGTTTTGAAACCCAGTATGGGATTCTGAGATACATTACCAAGGATATTATTACAAGATAAATCATTTGCTTCATTGAACACATACAACAATGCATATTTCCACTGAGATCAGTGACCTTTGATGTGTATCACCAGTGATCAGTCAAGTAGAAACAGTCAAAATATTTTATCATATTTTATCAATATTTGCATGATATTTTCATACAGGACATCTGTTGTTCAAACTCAGGGAAGACTTTATACTGATGAATAAGGTGACCAAGTTTGATAAAGTTTGGAATAGAATTAGTAAAGTTATTATGCACACAATAACAATTATTAACGACGACGACGACGACAACAACAACGACGACGACGACAACGCCGGACAAAATTTTTCCCTTAATATACCTTTCCCTTCGATCTTTGATGGTACGGGCAAGGTAATAAAGAATGTCCCAGCTCAGGACAAAATTCTTTACTTTTGACTACCACCTAGCTAAGACCAGTGAAAAACAGTGTCTTACATTGCCATTGTCATCTCGATAACAAAAGCATACTGCTGATATGGTGACAGGGTAGACATTGTCCAAGGACGCTAGACCTAAACCCAAATTATGGG